GCGCATCCAAAGTCTGGTGAACTTACTGGTCACAGGCCAGACCATGCAAGTACAATGACAAAGACAAGCCTTGGTAAAGCGATCCTTGCCGTCCACACTCATCCAGCTGAGTCGATCATCAACGACTTCCACCAGAACAACATCCATTCGATGCATACATCATTGCAGAGGCATTTCGAAGGTCAGTCATCCTGCTCACAATCAGATGACTTACCGATCATGCGAGAGAGAGAGAGAGAGAGAGAGAGAGAGAAGGAAGTGGGGGAGGGGGATATGCGAAACAGGTTTTGGATCATCTGACTGCAAGCGTTCATTTTGTACCTCATGTAGATGTACCGGTTTGTTTTAGGAAAGGAACCTTGTCGCATATGTCATTTGACCAGAACCATTCGACAAGCCTGTTTTCGTGCGGCTGCTTACCGACGCTCATTCACGTCGATGAAAAATGCGCCACAGGTTCGAAAGGACAAATGTTTGCAACCGTTGAAATATCCGGTCTCTCGTACCTTCCCATGACATGTAACACTGCTTTAAGATGAAGCTTATTAGGCGCATTAACTACATCATGATGTCATTAGCTAGGTACACCTTATTGAGGGAAATAAGATGGTTGAGCAACAGAGCTCACAGACTGCTATTTCCCTTAAACACTGAACTACTAGTTAATGTAAAAATGAAAAGTAAGTGAGCTAGCCGAGACTCGAACTAATGATGTCTCGATTGTTAATTCCATGCTCTACCAACCGAGACTGCCTATGGACTTCAAAATAACTGGCATTAGTCTACGAACTGCATGTCTAATTCAGCTCATATTTACAGACAAGTTCCTAGACAACCTTAGCATGGCCGCTTTTGCATCATTATGATGCAAAGTGGTCGAGAAGCTGAGAACTATAAGGGTCAAAATCCTACTTTTCTATTTTCTTTGAAAGTTTTCGATTCTGGGCCCATAATTCAACAGCGGCATGTTTTTATGATGCACAGTTAGGAAACTGAAACATACAACAAATACGGTAAAGTTGGAAAGTCGACTGTCAGTAAAAGTAGAACTTTCCAACTCTGCTTTAAGTTTTGGATTCTTTATCATGTTTCAAGAAATCAGTCAGCTAAACTATTATCGTAACGATGGCTTACGATGTAATCGTGTATCAGCCTTCCATAGTTTGCATCAGCCTTCCATACACACTTTTCGTCGAAAGATGAAACTGGCACGAAAAATTCCACTTAGGGAATAAATCAATCACTATCGTTTATTCACCTGATACGAGTCGAGTGCGCTAAATATGAGGCAAACAAAACATAAGCTCACTCGTTAAGCTTATAGATTTTCTCTGAGAAGACGGAAGAGTCGAGAAGTTTGTGGACGTTGCGATTTTCGGCGGCGAGTAAAGCGCCTTCGCTAGTCAGAATTCCTACGCAGGTTCCAGCGTGACTGATCGCTTCCATCGCGTACTCCACTTGATAGAGCCTTCCTAAATGCTCAGAGTTAACAATCAGTGCAGATGACGCACAAACGCACAAATAATAAAAGAGATGCACATGTAACAACTGGGACGAGAATGAACACGTAGAAACTTTGTAATGACTGAGAAAAGTTCAATTAATCAATGACACTGCAGTTTACAAGTCAGCTGAATTTCCATAAACAAATTTACTTGACATATCAAACGTTGCAGAAATACTACATGACAATGGACTCCACTTCGCATTTTAAGAGGTTTTTACTGCGTGAATCAAGGAAAGATTTCTCATTCACGTAGATCACCATTTTAGATTCCTCTCCATGCGATGTGTTTCTTATAGATCCTTTGTCTTCCGTGTTTTGATTCCCATTTTAGCAGCCAATGAGCGAATTCTCTAAGGTTGGCATGAGCGCCAACCGAAACTTCGAATGTTGCTAGGAATTCTACAGATTCCTCCAAAACATTTTTGGCAGAGATGAAACCTTCATTGCAGAGGGGAGGTGCAATGCAAGATATCCAACCAGATAGTTCGCTGATATGCAAAGTATGTAAATGATATTGCTCTGGTGGTAAGAAACAAGGTTTCGTCATCTGAGAGCGTTTATACGTAATATAACTACACAAACCTGCTATTCCTTAATGTTCATATGGCAAACACCATGATGGACCCATCCGACAAAGCAAATATCCGAACGAAACAGCGAAGTGAAACAGCAGAGAGGTTAAGCAGTTAAAGCAAATCGGTTTCGTAATTTCTAGTGGCGAAACCGCCAAATCAGAGTTAAATAAGAGGATCGCTTTCGCCTTAGTGCATTTGGTAACTTGCTCAATATTTGAGATGAGAAAGGAGCATTCCTTGTCACAAAAACGTGCATGTAACTTGAATCACTGTCGCTAAAGAGACCGTCATTCTAATGAAAATGTTTCAAGTCTGAAAGTTTACTGCTTGAATGTAGTCACAAAGGAGCTTCATTTTTCAGCAAATGCAATAATGCATGATTATCGGTTAACGGCTGCACAGCAGTATTATTTTACACTGAGCATACAAATATAACGATCGTGTCTTCCTCGACGTCAAGCGTCGCGCAAGATTCTAGTTTCTGACACCTTCCTGAAAGTCTAAAGTTTCGTAGCAGTCTTACTGAGTGTTCGGAAAACTTCGAGGGAATAACGCAATCTGTCAATCATCTACAGAAGAAAAGACGATACGTTATCACACCTTTCATGACAAAGAAAGGCACAATAAATCAATCTAAATGTAACAAAGAAACTATAAACTGGAATAATACAAGTATATGAAAATGCAAAAGAAAATACTCTGAGTTTAACTGCCAGATAGGGGCGTCAAAAATGTTAAGTACACCACAGCGATTATCAGTAAACAGAGGAAACGGATAACCGACTACTCTATCTACCTATTTATCGACTGTCCTAGAAAAAGAAAG